TTTTTTTTTTGCTTTTTGTTTTTTTTATTCGTTTTCTTGTTGCTTAGCATTTTTCTTTCTCCTTTTTGTTTTATTCCCTTTATCTTTTTGTATTAGTATTGGTTTTTTTTTTATAAATTAGTTGAAAACTATGAATCCTTCTTCTTGAAAAGCTAGGAGAAGAAGGTTAGAAAAAAAGGCAATCTTGATAGGTTATAAATACTATTTAGTGATGTATTGAAGAATTTATTTGCAGGGTTTTTGATATGGAAATAAACTTTACTATAGCAGATCGAATATGGGTAATTTGAGCACTTCAGTATTACAAAGAGCTGGGTTAGTCAATATTTGTAATTTAGATGGACTTTAGATAACTTTAGTCAAACTTGCATTTTTACCCAAAAGTTCAAATAATCAGATCTAATAAAATATTGGCAAGATTGCTGAATTGACAAAAAAAAAAAAAAAAATAGTTTAATATTACTCAAAAAAATTCTAACAATGGGCTTAACTGATTATCACTTTTATTCTATTCTATTCTATTTATTTATTTTTTTGATTCGTTTATTGCTTATTTTATTTTATTTTTATTGAATTTAGATATTTATTATTATCTTTAAAAGATTTCTCATATACTACATTATAAGAGAATTATCAGTAATGCATACAATGATGAACTTTATTTGGAATTTATTTCTAGTAAGGGTATCTTTAGTTGTTTCTTTAATAAAAGCTGCTCTGTGATAGTCTGCAGATAAATCAATAATATTAACAAGATATTTCTAAAGTTTCTTAAGAACCATGAATCCATAAATAGAGTTTTTAGATTTATCTGTTCAGCTGTCTAGACAAATTGTAACATTGGTAAGTATAGACATAGTAGATAACTTTTTTTGAAAATAGCTAGTATTATAGAACATGTTAACATTGTAAAACATATTAGAGATTTTATCTCTATTAGATTCAGAAGATTGTAACAATCAAAACAAGCTACAATATATAACAAATAGACTATTGATTAGCTAGATAATATCTTTTGTATCTTTCATACCTTTTGTACTTTTCATACCTTTTGTACCTTTTATACTTTTTGTACCTTTCATACCTTTTGTACTTTTCATACCTTTTGTACCTTTTGTATCATTCATACCTTTTATACATTTAGTACTTTTTATATCTTTTATATATTGTAAAAGCTATATAAACCCTAGCCTTTACCCTCTTTGTACTAGAGGATTTTTTCTTTGCAAAGTTCTAAAATATTAGAATTCTATAGGAATAGATACCTATAAATAGCTTAGTATCTAAACATTGTATTATAAATAAATAAATATATCTTTGTTCTAAAGTAAACTATATTTCTATGCTTTTAATAGATATACTGAACTGCCCTAGTAAGGAAATATTCCACTTCCACACTGCTTTATATCTCGCCCTGTTGTTCTAGAGATCTCTGTCGCTGTGTGCTATGTTGTAGATAGTAAATTAAGAAGGCTATCCTACTTGTAATACTAGAAAACATTTCTGTTAGAATACATCCTCATAGTATATTTTCTGAAAAAGATTAGTAAGTGGGAAATAAGTTGTGAAGGTAATCTTAAAAATAGGGATTTTGAGCAAAGTTAAGCAAGATATTGCCATAGATCATAGCATACAAAAGCTTTGTATGAAGTTTTTTAAATTGAAAATGAGATATAGGTCTAATACACCAATTTAGAATACTTTCTTGCTTGGGAAATATTATTAATAACTCTTTTTGATCTTCTTCTTCTTCTGTATCGATATCTTGGTTACTATATTTTTCCCAAAATAAGCTACCTTCTAAAATAAGCTATCCCTCTCTTTTGTGCAAAAAACTTAAAAATCTCTTTAGCCCGAAAGAAGCTACCCTGAATTTTTCAAAAAATTTTTAATAGTTGCTATATATAAAAGTCAAAATTGTACTAAGTAAATATATATTATGAACTTAATAAAAGCTGTTCAGAATTTAAAATTACACATATTTTGAAAGTTTTATACAATTTGAATAACTTTTTATTAATACATTTTTGCAGTTTAATTTAAAACTTTACTTGCAAAACTGTACTAATAAAAAGTTATTCAAATTGTATGAAATTTTCAGAGTACAAGTTTAACTTATATATATATACTACTTTTATTTAGTAAAAAATGACTAAAAATTAATTTGTTCCTAAAATAAGCTACCTCAGGAATTTTTATGTAATTTTTGGCCCAAAAATAGTAGCTTCTTTTTGGTATATTTAGCTCTTTTGCAAACACAAATTGCTTTTTTACTAGCTTCTTTAAGATAGCTAGTTTTATCACTAACTTGCCAATTATTGTATTTAAGAACATGCTAGTAAAGCTTATTAGGTTTTTCTTCAAGTTCATCTTTACAATATTTACATTTGGCAGTATATCTATTGCCTGTTTTTTTATTTACCGAATACTAAAAGCCAGTCCATTGACAGCATTGACTAGGAAGGTATGGGTAAAGCCTGAAGAAAGTTGCATGTTTTGAATTAATTTACTAGTGAAAAAAGAAACATATGCAAAATTTATTTAATTTTTTTGTTTGATTAGTAACTTTATCTAGAGACGGGATTTATGTATAATGATTTTGAATTGTGTGCATTAATATGCATTTATATGCATGTTTCTAAACTATTATAGTTTGAAAATATATATTCATATTAGAGCTCTGCAAACCAGGCACTGCCTATGCCTAAAAAAAATATGGGCACAGGTATGGCATAAAACTTTGAAAAAACTTAGGCATGAGTATAGGTACAAATATTAAAATTTTGGTATAGACCTGGGCATAGGCACAAAAGTTTGGCATAGACATTGGCACAGACACAGAAATTTGATATTTATTATTTAATTGTGTCTAGCACTTGTACTTGGCATTGTGCCTAGCACTGTTTTTGGCATCTTGTGTCTAGCACTTTGTGCCCATGTCTTTGTCAGTGCCTGGCACTTTGTGTCTATACTTTTAATATGCCTGATATTTTATACTCTTTTATACTAACATGGCATAAGGCAATGCTGGGAAATTAGACAGTTTTGGTTTTTGGACACCTTGTCCAAAACCTGTCCAAAACCTTGTCCAAAACCAAAACTAAATTTAATTGGTTTTGGACAAAATTAATTTATTTAGGAAATTGATAATGCTACATCTATGTAAATTATTTTAAATTTTTAGAATTTTTTTTAACTTTGATCAAAGATATTTTGACACCCACCTGACTAAATTAGATCAATTTTTTTTTTTGAATTCTACAGCTTTTTATAATTAAATAAAAAAAAGTTGATCAAATTTGTGCCAAGATATCTTCGTTCAAAGTTTTATAAAAGTTTAAAAAACTCAAATATATGCTGTAGCAAAAATTGTTTTCAAACTTTGATTAAAGATATCTCGGCACCCACCTGATCTAATTCAATTAACTTTTTTTTGTTTTAGTTATAGAAAGTCTTAGAATTCAAGAAAAAACAGTTGAACAAATTTAGTCAGGTGGGTGCCAAGATATATTTAATCAAAGTTTTTGTAAAATTCTAAACATTTATTAAATATAAGCTTGGGCAAAAATTGTTTACAAACTTTGATTGAAGATATCTCGGCACTCACCTAACTAAATTCGATCAACTTTTTTTGTTCTAATTATAGAAAGCTGTAGAATTCAAAAAAAAAAAGTGATCGAATTTGGTCAGGTGAGTGTTGAGATATCTTTAATTAAAGAGTTTGTAAAATTCTAAATGTCTATCAAATATAAGCTATGGCAAAAGTTGTTTATAGGCTTTGATTGAAGTTATCTCGGCATCTACCTGAACAAATTCAATTATCTTTTTTTTATTTTAATTATAGAAAGCTGCAAAATTCAAAGAAAAAAATTTGATTGAATTTGGTCAGGTGGGTGCTGAAATATCTTCGATCAAATGTTTTTGTAAAATTCTAAACATTTATCAAATATAAGCTGCAGCAAAAGTTGTTTACAAACTTTGATCGAGGTTATCTCAGCACCCATCTGACCAAATTCGATCATCTTTTTTTTCTTTAAATTTTGTAGCATTCAATAATTAAAATAAAAAAAAGTTGAATGAATTTGGGCAGGTGGATGCTGAGTTATCTTAGATCAAAGTTTTGTTTTATAAAATTTTAAATATCTATCAAATATAAGCTGCAGCAAAAATTGTTTACAAACTTTGATCGAAGATATCACAACACCCACCTGATCAAATTAGATCAACTTTTTTTTATTTTAATTATAAAAAGCTGTGTAATTCAAAGAAAAAAAGTAAATCAAATTTGGTTAGGTGGATACTGAGATATCTTCGATCAAAGTTAAAAAAAAATTTAAAAAATTTTAAATAGTTTTGGACAGTTTTGGACATGTCCAAAACTGTCCAATTCCCAGCACTGCTATATGCAATCTAAAAAATTCTTCAGTGCTCATTAATTTATTGGTATTTTTAACAGTCATTAATCGTTATATATAATACGAAATATTTTTATACTTACATGGGGTCTTTGCCTTGAAAATAACCTTACGGGGCTATGTAGATTTTATAAATAAAAATTAAAATTCTATCTATTCAGTAATCCATAACCTTTTTTTTATTTTGTAAGCTTAGTAAGTTCTACAAAATAAAAAAAAAATTATTTAAATTGGATTATTAGATGACTAGAAATTTTAATTTTTATTCATAAAATCTATATAGCCCCGTAAGGTTATTTTCAAGGCAAAGACCCCACATAATGTTAATGGCTCCAATTCACATGTATAATATGAATTATATTTACTTTTCACTAATTTAATACAGTTTATGAGTAATATTGATTTAGTTGATTCTTCGAAGTTCATTTTGAATAATATTTTTTTAATAGATTAAATAAAAAAGTATTGGTATCGGTATGTGGCTTTTTAATAATCATATAAATCATATGACTTATTTCAGCATCCATTGATGCTGAAATATATGACGAAATCTTCATTCAATAGTTGTATCAGCTTTTACACAGTTTAAAAATTATTTGTAGCCGGAAATTTATACCCGACTTTTTGCCCTATATATGGTTCTACTATAAAAATCCTAAATGAATATGACAAAATTAGCCAGCTGTATTAGAAATATATACAAAATTGCTTTCCCGACATTTTTATTTAACTTACCTAGGTTTAGACTATTTTTTGAAATTAAACTAATAAAATTTTTAATCCTAATTTTGCCAATTTCGTCTTTTTTCAAAAATTTTCAAAATCTATGTTTTAATTTTGCCCAAATTTATATCTAATTCTGTCCAAATTTTATTCCAAATCGGCCAAATTTATACTCGATTCTTTTCCAAATTTTATTCTAAAATTTTCATTCAGATTATTTACAAAGATGAATCCAACAAATAGTAATCAAATTCTAACCGAAAAAATTAAACTTGACAATAAATTAGATCCTCATATTAAAAATAATAAAGTATATACTATATCCGCAAAATCTAAAAAAAACTATTATTATGTCTTTTTTAGTGGTCCATAGAATATTCAATAGTATGTCTGACACGTGATGTATTACTATACGTGAAATATTCTGATTGGTGAAAAAACGCGTCACTAATTAAATATTTATCATGACCTTTACAACTGAGAGCATGGTGTACTCCTTTTATTGGCAATGGCGTAAGAATTTGCAGGTATTTGTGTATTGTTTTATTCGTGTCCGAATGTAATCAGAATCGTTATCTATTATGTTTTGGATAAAAGAAAAAATACGCGGCATAAAAAGCAACAAGACAGACAGACATTATTTGAAAATTCATTACTAATACAAACTACGGAAGTAACAATTTTCTTTGTTTCATGCTTATCAATATTGGTTAAATAAAAAATTTTGTCTCTTAGCTTAAAAGAAATATGCACTGATTCACAAAGAGTATGGATGTATAAGACTCTTGAATATTTGTAATCATTTTCGTTATTTGAGATTTTCACCAAATAGTTTTAATCTGACTTTCGATATCGTCTCTCTCCTCAATTTCTATAGACACTGGTAAAGAACATGAAAATTCAACCCACTTGTCGAATATTCCTCTAAAAATTTCGATAACTATTTCATTTTTTGGCATGTTATTTTTGATAATTATTGGCATTGGATTTCCATTAATTTGAATATCAGTATATATTTTTATTTTATTCTGTTAGATTTCAAATCCTATTAATATTAAATATACTGTAGGTCAAGTTAACAAATTCATGTCGATATTATAAATTTTTACCTGATCAAGCTTTTAGTAAATAAATAATTATATGTATTTTAGATGATGGTTTTTGTTTGTAAGTACGTATTATATTCTAATTATAGTAAAAATGCACTAACATTAATTATAGATGTAGTACTACGTATACTAATATAAAAAGTATAAGACTTACACATAATACTTTTACTATAGGTAAGATAAACTTTGAATTCAAACTTTTACATTCTTTACAGTACCAATTTCCAGCTGGTATTCTTGTGAGCGGAGGTTTCAGACATCTGGTATGAAAATTTTTGCCACAATACTATCACACAAGAGGATGTGACCTCTGTCGCCTTTCCAATCACACACATAACAGCCACAGAATTTACAAAATTACTTTTTATTTCTATAGTAATCTTCACATTCTGACCATCCTGGTGAATTGTCATCACTTACGTCAAAGTCATCTTCCTATTAACAATAATCTATATCAATGAATTTTTTTTTATTATCGGTTAGAAAACTTACATTATCTTGAATAGATCTATTATCACCAACTTGGATTGTTTGTTCAATTATTCCGGAGATGCTATTTTCAACTTGCTTAAGGTTTATGGTTTGTCAATGATAAAATAGATTTTAGATTATCCTAGTTATAGGAAAACTTTCTTACCTGATTATCATTAACGCATTCATTACTGAGTGCGCTATTGGCTTAATAAGTATTTACGGTAACATTGATTGACGCAGATAATTTATCGATTTCCTTATTATTTTCAAAGTTATTACTGAAATTCTTACTTTGCTGAGGTTTTTTGATGTTTTATTAATAATTAATTTTATAATTTAATATTATTAAGAATCTTGTTACCTCATTCTTATAAAAAAAAAAAAAAAGGTAATTAGATATTAAACTATTTGTGTATTAATAATTAACAATTTTTGAAATCCCTCCATCTTTAGGAATAAATTTTGGTGAATATTTGTCTAAAGTTAAACATTTCATTGTATATAATTTATAACTAAGTATAATTTTTTGAGGTATGAAAAATCCTTATGTTTTAAAAATCTGCATCAATTCCGAATAGGGTTCATTATGCAATAGCGCATTTGTAACTTTATTTATTAGTTCCTTGGATGGTTTTATTGTTTTGTTATTAAAAATTAATTCTTTTTTGGGACATTGTATTTCCAGATTAATGTCATTTGTAGGCGTTTTGTCGGTTAAAATTATATCAACTTGTTTATCCAGTCATGATGCATCAAATTAATTGCAGAAGGATCAATGTGATTTTCTAACAAAAAGGAATCGCCACGTTTTGTAGACAATGTCAGTTTTACTTTTAATTTTTCACCCAAGGTATAGATCGAAGGTTGCATTTCAATGTCATATATTGGAGAACTTCCAAAATATATTCATCTTGTGTCTATGATCAATCTGTGATTTAAATTTTTGTTTTTTATTAGTTTTTTAACATGATAATGCCGGTCTACTCTGAAAAAATTAATGATAGTGATAAGAAAACTTGCAAATAAAATAAGTGAGTATAAGTTGCCAAGTATGTCAAATTCGTTCATGTTGATAAATTAACATTAATGATTTTCTTCACTAGATTGAAAAACATTACCATTTTTAATAAATTTCAAATCTCTATCACTATAAATAGATTGTTTAGTTACACTAACACAGAGGGAGTTGTACATACTGTATATATTTTATATCGATATGCGTATATTTACATCATTCTGAATTTTTTATTATTATCACAGCTAGTTTTATAGGTTAAATATAAATAATAATTTGCTATGTCAAATAAAGATATTACTAATTTAGATAGACTATATAATGCTATACCAATTGCTATTACTATTCTTATTATTGGTATAATTCATTTTAAGGGTTTGAATCAAAAAGAAAGAAAGAAAGAAAAAGAAAGGGAGAGAGAGAAAGAAAGAGTTGAGAGTAATTTGCATGTTACAATCATTAAATTATGTCCAAACCGGGAAAAGAAACAATATCTAAAGCTATTATTACTAAAAACAAAGCTTAGTCATGTTCGATCTAAGCTTAATAGTTATATGAGCTTAGATTGTTATTTTATGAGAAATAAAGAAGAAATTCACAAGAAGACGAATCCAAATTTAGTTTATCAGACATTATTGAAACCGATAATAACAAATATTCTTTATTTATTATGCAATCAACAGATTTTGATTACGCTCAGTTGGATTATGAGAAGGCATTCTTATTTAACGAAGATGAATCTATTATTACGCATGCTATTAATGCAGCATTTAAAATTAACGTCAGCAAAATTAGATTAGAAAGTTTTAAAAATAGTTTAACAAAAGAGATGATATCAGAATGTAATCATGACCATAGTAAGACATGTAGCAGAGACCTTATATTTGATGCAAATTTCTTTGCCGATACATGCGGGTCTTCTACTTCATTTGGCCTTTCCATGAATATTCTAGTCAAAAGTATGACCAACACACAATATCAACTAAGCATGTAAAACTTACACATCAAAAAGCAGAAATAATCATTGAGTACCATGGTTAATTACAAGTTCATATTCTTTATTTTCTACCAATTATTACATATAATTATAGAAGCAGCTTATAGTAAGTTTATGATTTGTCAATATATTGTTGACCTATGGAAAAACACTAAAATGGCCATACCTAGCTGAATATCGAACCTATCAAGATGAAACTACTACTATTCGAAAGAGCTCACTGAGACAGTTCTAATAAGCTATCATTCATCTTTGTACGACTCTGGTTACCGAGATAGAAGCCTTTAAAGATTTATTAATTGTTCTTATATTATGAACTTTAATCTGATTGGCTGAGGCTTACTGCGGGCAAAAAAGCTATAAATGCTACTTGTGACATTTGTAAAATCTGTCATATTTATGGCATAAATTCTAGATATTTTATTTATTATATATACTATTTATTATATATATATTATCTATACTATATATACTTTATATATTATTAGTAGTAGTTATATTATATATAATACATGTAGCAGTAGTAAACCCCGAGTTTTGTGTAATCTAAAAATGTATAAATGCGGCTTATGTGGCTTCCAGACTCATCATTGAGTCCTCATACTCTTTCACCAATAAATACATCTTAAAACCTTCACAATTACTAGTATCTTCATATACTTTTAATTATTGCCTCTTTTGTAATTGCAAATTACCTTAAATCTTCTTTGTTAAGTTTCCTTAGAAACGCCCTTCTGGCTTAGGCATATCACAGTAACTGAGAGAGTTACAAGAAGTGTTCTCTGTCTAACGTTGCTCTAGTTACCTTCTATCTTTAAAGAAGTCAAAGGCCTTATCTCTACACAACTACTTGAATCTCTTTAGACACTAGATCTACGATACAATGAGGCAGTTAACATCATAATACAGATACTACTTCTCGTATCTGCAGAAATCCATAAACAAATCTGGAAACCATACTGTGACAGATTCGCAAAATGGAAGAAACAAAATAACATATCAACTCCAAGTGGAGCTACACCAACTAGCTTACAAGTCCACAACCATACTAGGCAACACCAAAGAAGGCTTAGCTCAACTGTCCCTGTGGTATAGCTGACCAACTACATGAAGACAATGGTACATGCCCTACAAAAGGATTAGTCTAGCTAAAATTTGACCAGTGGTCCACAGTGTGGATTCAATTTAGCATATATACAAACCAAATATTAACCATTAAAATCTAGATGAGTCTTGACCACTCTAGTAGGTTTAGGTCGCAAATAACTAATTTAGCTATAGCTGAGTTTTTAGTTTGAGCTCTCATTCTTGCATATAGTTTATATAACCTTTGTTTTTATACAAACTAAGTTGTTACTACGTAATTACTTGTATAAACTACTCAATAAAGATATGAGCAAGGCCTTACCTTAATACCAAAAAATAAAAATAAAAATATAAAGAATTACAACTTTCATTATTATATCTTTAGTAATTTACTAATAAAAATTAAGACTTTATTTAGAAGCAAAAATTTTTTTATAGACAAAAAACATATAAAATTTAAGAAAGTTTAAAGAAAAAATTATATAGTAAAAATTTTAATACAAGAACTTTAAACTTTTATTATACTAAAGTTTTTTAATAATTTTAAAAA